CTGTTGAAATATTTTTCGTTATATTCGTTTTTTTTTTCTTTCGATTCTACTCTCCCTCCTAGGGTTCGATCAAAACTTTAATATTTTTCCAAAAACAAAGCAAAGCAAATAGAAAAATCAAAATATAATAAAGGAATACTCTACGGATGGCAAACCTAAAGAAAATAGCAAACAAATCTATTATTTTGTTATTATATCCTTCATAGAATTACAAAAAAAAAGAATCTGCTCTCCTCCCAGACTCTCTGCTCTGCCCTTTTCACAACCCCTTTAATTCTGAAGAGCATTCTTCAATTCTCAAACAGAAGAAAAACTATAAAAAAACCAACACAGAGAAAATATTAAAATGCAGTACTTGAAATTGAAACAACCGAGAACTCACAACTCCCTTTGGGGCAAATAGACTTCCGCATTGTTGCAACACAACAACTGCAACAGTTAGCTCCAGTTACCCAAGCAGCAACAGCATCGGTAGCAACCCAAGCCAGCTCCTTTTGCTGTCACTTAGATTTGCTTATTTTAACATATGGCAAAATAGAACCAGAGCAAAAAGTACCGAGCAGCAATAAAAAAAACATTCTAAAAAATAAGAAGACTTGAGTTCTGAGATACCAAAATGTAACGAAATCCAAGCTCATATTATTTTATTTTGATAAAGTTCTACTTTCTAGTATACTTGAATGTTTTGGTTGTTTCCTGTGCAACACATATACAAATCCGTTCATACCTAGATAGATACTATTACATATTAAATAAGAGCACTATGCAAAGAAAGATACCTTATGTGGAGATTTTTTAATAGTTGAATTTGAAATACAGGTAAACCTTTGAGAATATTAAACTTTGCAGGAACTTGAGGAGCGAATTTTTTTTATTTATTTACATACAGGGTGAGATAAAGCATGTAAAAAAACAGTGAGTTCGGCCGGGTCTTTGAATACCCCCCACCATTTGGAACGAATTAGGAAATTTGTTTGAAAATGTTTCTATGTCGATTTAACCATGTTCGTCTGTGGAGATCATTATCATATCAGATCATATCTGACAGGTGCTCACGATAATTTTCGAAGGGAGTATCCGAAATAAGAGTTTTAGTCCCTTGGTATCTAGCTTTGAACGTCTGTCCGTCTATCTGGCATGTGCCCAGAATAATTCTTGAAGGGATTATCCGAAATAAGAGATTTAGTCCATTGGTCTCTTTTTTTAAGAGTCGATGCTCACGAAAATTCTCGAAGGGATTGATAACACCGGTCAACTCCTTCCTGTACCTCCACCACAAAAGGTCAACATATTCAAGGAATAGAAAGAGAAATGCAAAAAATGGCTTATCGATCCACTCCTTCTGGTACTTCCCCGCAAAGGGTCAACTTTTTAAATAGTTATAGCTGTCATAACATCGAACCACGTTCGTGATTTTCTTCAAACTTAGTATATCTCAATATTTTTACCAATGTTACGAAAAGTGCGAGTATGCAGTTTATCGGCAAACTTTTTACCCGTACCCCACCCTCACAATGGGTAAAAATGTTGACTCTAAGGATTATTGAAAATCTTTAAGTTTATAAATATTAAACCACGACAGTAAGAACTGCTAAAAATCCGACCATGTGGTACCCTACAACACTACAATATGATAGAAGCCCCTTTATGTCCAAATCCATTTTGCTTTTGAAATTATGTCACCGAGCACTGCCCAGATATTATCCTTAGTATTTTGCCCAGAGAAATTTGCCCAATATTTACGCACTCCGTCGTGCTGTTAGTTGTTGTGGTCGATTTTACAGATAATATAATTCAATGATTATCCAAAATGCTAGAATTCTTCACTGTCCTTAACTCTCTTCTCAGGCGTGTCCATTGGCTTCAATTGTGTGATCAGGAAAATTTTTCTATTGGTTCATTTTAACCCCTAAATACTTTGCGAGCATCCATTTGTGTATTTTAAATTTCGTCTGTAAGTTATAATCGGTAAATGGAAATGTTGATATTTTTCACACAAAAGTAGAGGTCCATTCTACTCGCTGTACTAAACTCTAACTTCATGCGAGTTCGTTCCCTTTGATTTCTATTTATGACCTTTATAACGGCTGCAAGATCAGGAACATTTTTATACCCAACACCACAAGGTGGTCAGGGTATTATGTCTTTGTGCATTTGTTTGTAACAGGCAAAAGGAAACGAGATAGACCCATAGTTCCTTTTGATGATCTGCATAGAATCACTTTCTGAGTTGATTTATGCATGTCAGTCCGTCTGCCCATGTATTCCTGTAAACAAAATGCAGGTCGCATTTATTATCCGATTGAGATGAAATTTTGCAAACAACATTTGTTTGGCCCAAGGACGAACCCTATTGAAATTGGAGATAATCGGTAAAAATTTAGATATAGCTCCCATATATATCTTCGTCCGATTTGCCTTTTATTGTGCACCAAACGTCTAAAATTTGCCCGAATAGTATGGAATTTTGCACATACAACCAAATTAGGCCTGAAAATAAGTATGCCAAATTTTAACGAAATCGGTTCAGATATAGCTATAGCTCCCATATATATTGTTCATCCGATTTGTTATTTTTGTCCTCCGCAGCCGTAATATGCACTCTGTAACAACAATATTTGTGGAAATATATAAACGGCAGCTCAGAAATACCTTTGCTAAATTTTATCGAGATCGGTTCAGATTTGGATACAGCTCCCATATATAACTTCGTCCGATTTACCATCTATTGTGCACCAAACGTCTAATATTTGTCCAAATGGGATGGAATTTGGTACATACGACCGAATTTATTCTAGAAGGTAGTATGCCAAATTTGGTGAAGATCGGTTCAGATATTGTTATAGCTCCCATATATATTGTTCATCCCATTTGTTGTATTTGTTACCCACAGCCGTAATATGCACTCCGTAACAACGATATTCAGGGAAATATATCAAATACAGCTCAGAAATATCTTTGCCAAATTTTAGCGAGATCGGTTCAGATTTGGATATAGTTCCCATATATATTTTTATCCGATTTCAAATTAATTGTGCACCAAATGTTCAATACAAGTCCGAATTTAAAAGATACAAATGCTTCGGCCTAACCCTACCCTTGTGAAAATGTTCGTGGGGATCGGACGACAATTGCAATCTGTATATAATAACCCCAACCTGTGTTGCAAGTTGAAAAAATATTACAAAATGTACACTTCAGTATTATAAGTGAAATTAAAAAAATCGCATGCGATAAAAAATTTGAGAAAATAAAAAAATTCACAAAATACTACAAAATCTATAATAACATCATTATTGACATATTTTTATTCGATTTTTTTAGATTTTATTCTTTTATGTTAAGAGGACATTTTGAATTGACAAAATTTGTCAAAATTAGTCAGAATTGACCTGTTCGTCTTTTTGTGATTTCGCCGGCATTAAAAATATTCACGGTTTAATGGTGAATTTTACTTTTATTTAACACAATGTTATGGTCTATTTCACCCACTAAATAGTAGCCGATGACCATCAAAATTGGAAGACTTCTGCCCAGCCCTGAGCTCTAGGCCCATGCTAACTTCCGTTTTGATTGGTAATGATAATTGCGACCTGTAGAGTAACTGCAATATCAGGAAATTTTTCAGTTTTTTGGTTCATTTCAACCCCTAAATATTATACGATCATCTCCAAAAGCCCCTCCTCTATTCTAAATTTGATATAATTGCGACCTGTAGGGTGATTACAAATTAACATGTCTGTTCATGAAAGGACAGACATACATTGCTAGATCGACTCAGTTTGGCGAGATACGAAGAATCATATATACTTTCCAATATTTCGAGGTGTTACATAATTTTTGGCCCAATCAAACTTATAATACCCCCAAAACATAGTGTTGTAGGGTATAAAAAAAATTAACGGTAACCTTCAAATATTATCTAAAAATATCTGACTTCCAGTAGTCCTTAAAATCTTAAAAATTTACATATGCAAGGTTACTGTTAAAATACCTTATAAGCTCGCCCTAAAAAGTAAACAAGTCACCCCTACAAAAAATGACATAGGTGTTTCAAAGTCAGCCTTAAAAACTCTTAAAAATGTATGACTGTAGCCTCCTTAAATTCTACAAAAAATATTTTTTTGTAAGCTCTCCAATTTATCCCTAAAAAGTCTTGAAGTTCAATTTACCAACTCGCTTATAAAAATAAAATGTTTAAAAGTCCCCGACTGAAAACAAAAAAATATTTAAAGTCCCTGATTGAAACTACTTTTAGTATAAAAATGCACGAATAATCAACAAATATAATCCTCGATTGAAAATATTCTTAAAAAACAAAATTATAGAACTGGTATATTTCACGAAAAGTCTTGATTTTTTATTCCTTTTTTGAGCCATGGCTATAGTACCTTGAAGTAGATCCAATGCTTGTTGGCCCTTTAAGTCCTTTCTAAATAAATAATAAAAAAATTTAAATATCTTTAACATTTTAAAAACACCACCAGCGAAAAAGACCAACGTCATGTCTCAAAAGAAAATTGTCATGTTTTCTATGAGTGTTCTGTAGTACTCATTATAAGAATATCATACATTTGTAGACCCATTATGTATTTTAGGTTATGAAGTAGACCATGTTAATTACTACGCCCAAGGCTACATCAATTGTTCTCACACACACTCAGCCAGCAAGCTAGGCAGCAAGAGAAAATAGAAATAAACGAAGCAAGAAAAAAACACAACTGATCTCAAAAGAAAGTGTAACCAAAGAATATTTCTTGTCCTTTTTGTTGGATTATGGGTGTACCTAAGTGAGGGAGTGTGGGGGGGGGGGGGGGGATGATGTGTAATAAGTACACACCCACACATACTCGCATATGTGCATTATAAAATATTCATGCGGATGCTAGAGTCATTCTTTCTCCATGGCTTTTAATACTCACTCTTTATGTTTATGCATTTCCTTTCATTTGATTCCTTTTCTTCTCATTCTCTTCTTGTTTTTTTCCTTTATTTTGCAGATTCACCCCGCTGTAAACCAGGCACTGAACAAACATCCATTGGCGCCATAAATATGCACTCAATACCGGTCAAATGTGAAGTAGATGCTGATCCACCAGATTCGGTGAAATTTAGTTGGACCTACAACAATACCAGAAATGTGTCACCCGTAAGTATACAAAAAGCAACCTTTTTATCTGTACTCGTATGAGTGTACCAACATGGTACACATCAATTATATTTCTTACATGAGAATTTTTTTTTTTGAAATTTCATCTAATTGACCTCTTCAATTCTGCAATGTGTAAGCAACTTCGTTGAACTTATTCTTCGTACGAAGAAATAGTGCATGACCCCTAAGTTCGACCATATGACCATTTACCATAAATTTCAACCCGAAGGCCTTCAACATATTAAAAATTGAGGAGAATACGAACCAAAAAATATGTTTAACTCCTTTGCTCTTTGCATTTTGGCTTCTTCGAGGAGATGTTGTTGTAGGAGCTGATGTTGAATGTAGTTGGCATCCTTTATGGGATTTACGCTGCACGTACAAAAGGAGGGGACAATTGCAAATCTATAAGCAATCAAAGAGCCTGTGCAAACATTCAATGACACTCACTCATACACACACACACAGCCATTCGTACATACCGGGTAAAACCCCTAGAGTAATGCGACAAAGAGCACACACACACACACACACACACACACACAAAGTAGTACCACAAAGAAAAGTCAAAAGATGCTGCAGTTGGGAAAACTCAAAAGGAAAACAAACATTTTATTCTCTTTCTGACAGTGAACAAACAGGAGAAGAGAAGGCCAACTGTCCGGCTGACAGGCAGAAGACTGACTACTTCAGTTGAAAGTTTCTTCAGTAACAATTATTGAGTTTTCTAAATATTTAATGAAAACATTGATGACGATGATGACTTTTTGAAAAAAACTAGGGGTTTCCAAATAACACTGACCAATGACTGAGGAGGTTCACTTGTAATTTGGCCCTGTGAAGTAGGTACTTTAAGGGATAAAGTAAAAAAACATTATAGGGAATTATGTGGGTGGACAGTTACTTTGAAATTTGTATGTGGATATTACATTTCAAATGTGCATTCACATGTGTCTGTGTGTGTGCGTATTCATGTTCGATTTTGATTCCATGAACTCATGTTATTATTACCTTTGAAGTTTAGGTAAATAGCTCAGTTTTGGAAATTGAAGTATATGAGATGGATTCCAAGTTTTCAAATTAAAATGCAATATTGGCTTGTGAAAATTGCCAGTGGGTGTATTTGGGATGCAGATATTTGTGTCACAATATTTATTGTGATAGTGTAAGAGATATACTGTCAATAAATAAAGGTTGATTTTTTATACCCCACACCAAACAGTGGTAAGGGTATTATGTCTTTGTGCTTTTTATTTGTACCATGGACAACGAAGCGAGGTAGACCCATATTTACCTTTGAGGATCTTCATATAATAACTCTCTGAGTCGATTCATACATGTCAGCCCGTCCGTCCTTTTTGTGAGCAAAATGCAGGCAGATGACATTTTCCAAACAATATTTGTTGAAATTGGTGACAATCGGTTCAAATTTAGATATAGCTCCCAAATATATCTTCAACCGATTTCGGGTTAATTGTACACCAAATGGCTAATATTAGCCCAAATGGACTGCATTTTAGCAAATCCGACTTAACTTATCTTAGAAACAAATTCGGCGAAAATCGGTTCAGATATTGCTATCGCTCCCATATATATGTTTCATCCGAATTGCGGTCTTAAGTAACTCACTCCATATGCACTCCTCAGAAATAATTTTATTTTCAGAAACAGCTCGGAAATTACTGTATAAAATTTTATCAAGATCGGTGCATATTTGGATATAGCTCCCATATGTATATTTAACCGATTTCAGGTTTTTTTGTGCTGCATATGCCTAATATCAGACCAAATGGCTAGATTAAAAGCAAGGCTAGATTAAAAGCAAGTGCGTCAACTTTTGGCGAAAATCGGTTCAGATAAAGCTATAGTTCCCATATACAGGGTGAGATAAAAGACTGCAACAAAGTCAAACGCCATAATTTTTACATTTTTATACCCTATACCTTGGAAAGGAGGGTATATTAACTTTGTCATTCCATTTATATCTTCTCTAAATATTCGTCGTAAACCCAATAAAGTATAAATACATAATCAGCATAAAATTCTGAGTCGATTTAACGATGTCCGTCTGTTGAAATCACGATACAGCCCACATACAGACGTAGAGCGTAAAAATTGTATAGTCCCCATATAACGGTACTTCCCGATATTCGGTATTTTGATTATTTTTGCCACATTTTTTACGAATTTTTCTGAAAACTTTTATTTGTAAGTCATAATGGGTTCTGGCTACGGTGACGAAACATTGTATAGCCCCATATAGCGGAACCTCCCGATATTCGATATTTTGATGATTTTTGCCACATTTCCTAAATATATGTCTAAGAATTGGTATTTGTGGGTCATAATGGGTTCTACTGTTTCCTTTACCCTAAGATGGAGGGTATAAAAAGTTCGACCCGGCCGAACTCAATGTTTTTTACTTGTTTTTTTTTTTTATTTTTATTGAATGAAAGCAAAAAATGTCGAAAAAAGCATCAATTTCAGAATAAGTTTAGACTTTTTCGAGTTGGTCACCTTTGGTACAAACTATGACCTTCAAACGACCAATGAAACCGTCACACGATGCCGGAATGTTGCTGGTATTTTTGTCCATTCCCTGCGAAGCGCTTGCTTAAGGTCATCGGTACTTTAGAATTTTTTAGTGCCAACCTTGTTTTCCAAAGTACTCCAGACACAATGGTCCAACGGATTGTTATCCGGAGATTTTTGTGCCCATTGTGCGCTGGAAATGAAGCGAGGAACCTCATTTAGTAACCATTCTTGGGTGGCGCGTGCTGAGTGCGATGGTGCTGAGTCCTGTTGGAGTGCCCAAGATCTGCGGCCAAAATGTTTGAGTGCCCAAGGCTTTAATTTCGCGATAATATTCGGCATTTATTCTGATGCCACGGTCGATTAATACGAGCGGGGAGCGACCATCGCCCACACCATCACCATGGCCGACGCTTGAGTTCTGGTGGCCAATCGAAGGTGCATATTTTCAGCTGACCTCTTTGGCAAGTAAAAACGATAATTTTGTTGGTTTACAAACTGCTGGACAACGAATGTTTTCTCATCGAAGAAACCCAAATTCGGCAGTTCCCCACTTTCGGCCAAGCGAAGAAACTCTTTAGCTGTTTTGAGTCTATTTTTTTTCTGTTGCGGTGTAAGTTCTTGCACGTTTCGGAATTTCAATGGCTTTACCCCGAGCTCATTCTTCAATATTTGCCGAATGGAATATTGCGGTATGTTCAGCTCACAAGCCATTTTTCGGCCACTGCGACGTGGGTTTCGATCAAGACGTTTCTGCACTTTTCAAACCATTTCTGCTGATGTTGCTCTTTTCTGCCGTCCACTTCCTTGACGTCGGGCTACGCTACCAGTATTACAATAACGAGCGATGGTACGAGACAGAAAAGATTTATTCACATTTAAATGCTGGAGAGCTCTATCTATAGCCACTTGTTGTTTTCCTGCCAAATATAAAGAAATCACACTACCACCAGGGTTCTTCATAAAACCCAGGCTTAAAACCTTGCGGTTTATAGTTAAGCACACTACACACGGAGTGTAGTTCTGCGAACATAAAGGGTTCTTAAAAGTCTGACATCTGCATTAGCAATTTATGATAATTATTATTTTTTGCTGAGGGGTATTTCGAAGAAAATCATCCGACTGAACACTATCAATCAGAGTTTTTTCTTACACCATAATCCGAAAATCTGCCATAAATTCCAAAATATTTCCCACAAATTTCCAATTCCCTGTTTAATTACCAATTTCAATTCACTGTATCCACAAACATATCTAACACCACTTTCTGTCAAAATTCTTAGTATTTTTCTTTTTTTGTGGCCATTTGAAATAACCTCTTGACTACAAATACTACCACACGTATCCTTTTGACTACTGTTGCTGGCACTCTATTGCAATGAATAAAGAAGAAAAAACTACACAGTCTGCTTACACAAAAGTTTTGCAACAATACCAAAAGGAACAAAAACACATACACAAACAAACAAGTATTCAGGCAGGCAGACAGACAGACAAAGAGTCATTCATTCATTCTTTCGTTCATTCACTGGTCACAGGAGACATGCAGGCAGACAAACGGACGGACGGGCGGACAGACAGTTGTACATGCATACAAATATACGTGACTTGGCTTGAGACCTAATCGAATTTTATAAATTATTTATAATCTATTGAAAATGGTCTCTTCTCTTTTACCAAAAATATGATCAATGGTGTGTATGTGTGTGTGTGTGTTGGTGAGTCCTTTGGAAGCCATTCATGGGGTTATATTGGCTCACAAAAAGGACTTGCACTTGTCTTTTGGCTTTCAACCAATTTCCATTACTACAGCACGAGCTGGAGAGAATGAAATGAAAGCACAAGGGTATAGCTACTTACCAATGCACTTGAGTTCAATTCTCAATGAATTATAATGAAGATTGGTTTTATTTGTCGAAGTGTATGTGTCCATGTGCACATACATATGCACATATTTGTGTTGTCTGTCATTCATACTTAGTTTTCAATAAATACAAGAGTAAAACTATAATTTAACTGACAACTGACACATACAGATGATGACAATTTTTAGTTGCATCACAGGTGTATGTGATTGCCTGGGTATGAATGTGTAGACATACATACATATGTATGTACCTTTGCTCGATGGGTGTTTTTCTTCTTTTTATACCCTCCACCATACATAGTATAGAGGGTATATTAAGTTCGTAATTCCGTTTGTAAGTCATCGAAATAATCATTTTAGACCCAACAAAGTATATATATTCATGATCAGCGTAAAATTCTGAGACGATTTAGCCCTGACCGTCCGTCTGTCCGTCAGTCCGTATGTTGGAATCACGCTACAGTCTAAACGAATTAAGATAGGAAGCTAAAATTTTGCACAGATCTCTATTTTGTCTGCAGGCAGGTCAAGTTCGAAGATGGGCTATATCGGTCCACGATATCGTATAGCCCCCATATAACGGTACCCCCCGATATTCGGTATTTCGATGATGTTAGCCACATTTTTCAATGGAATTGTCTGAAAATCCACAAAAGGAGTCCCTTGTGGGCATTTTACACCCTAAAAAAGAATTGTCTATATAGGTCCACGATATCGTATAGCTCCGATATAATGGTACCCCCGATATTCGGTGTTTTGATGTTTTTAGCCACATTTTTCAACGGATTGGTCACAAGGGGTTCTTTGTACACAAGGGGTTCTTTGTGAGCACTCCCCCCCCCCCCCCCCCCTCCGGCAGAGAATTCTCTATATAAGTTAACGATAACGTATAGCTCCCAAATAACAGTAACCCGCGATATTCGTTTTTTTGATAATTTTTAGCCACATTTTCCAATCGTATTGTCTGAAAATCCACACACGGAGTTCTTTGGGCGCACTTAACCCCCTGAAACGGAATTGTTTATATAGGTCCACAATATCGTATATCCCACCAAATAACGTTACTCCCCTATATTCGGCATTTTGATGATTTTAGCCACTTTTTCCAATGAAATTATCTGAAAATCCACACAAGGAGTTCCTTGTGAGTACTTTACACTGAGACATAGATTTGTCTTAATAGGTCTACAATATCATATACACCCCCATATATTGGCTCCACATGGATCTTATTTTTTTTTTGAAAATTTTCTAATTCGTTCCAAATGGTGGAGGGTATTCAAAGTTCGACCCGGCCGAACTTACTGCTTTTTTACTTGTTTCTCCCTTTTTTCGCAGCATGTCTGAAAAGTTTCACACATATACATATATATGTTTGTTTGTGACAGAATTGGTAATTTATTGTTAATGTCTGATAAATTTCTATGTACGCTCAAATATATATATTATGGCAACCATATCAAATACATTCCTACCTACCGAACAGAACCACTTGAAGAGCAAATATTTCTCCATCAATATTTACTGAAGTGATTCATTTCGTTTATGTGCCACTGCAATTCTATTATGGATGGTTAGTAAAGTTTGTACAAATGTGGGTTAATGGGTACTTTGGAAATGTTCACATGTTGGTGATGATGGTGTGTGTGTGTGTTCAGCGGAGAATTGGGTAGGGGACTAAATGGTACTTGAAGAAAATTATTTTTCATATCAATATCTAATTAAAGAAATCCTTTTAAACGAATTTTCACCCTTTGTGTGTTAGACGAAATTAAGGTTAAGGATAATTGTGAACTGACGCTGAATAGTGAGCTTAAAATTACTGCAAATATTAACAAAAGGTCAATTACCTAGCAAATTTTCAACAGAGGATAGACTGACTAAGTTGAGAAATGTATTAGTCCCTAAAAAAAATACAAAGCACAAGAACTTATGTTTTCATTACCAAATAATGTGTAGCGTTGTCAAAGAGTTTGAAAATAATTTTCGCATTAAAGGAAAGGGCAATTACTGGGTAAAAATTTGGAAACCCTACGGGACCAATGACCCATTAAATAGGTAATTTAAACGAACTATCTTCTGCATTACCAGTCGAATAAAAATAATGGATTATTCCTTAAAGAGAAATAATTTATTTTTACATTACCACATAATGAGTAACATCGAGGGAAAGCGCACGTGTCCAACCATAAAACCAGAAGTTGTGAGTTCGGAATCGACAACAACATAACATAAACCAGTAAAGAAAGTCTTAAAGTCGGGCGGGGCCGACTTTGTGATACACCACTTTGCTAATTTAGTAGAGCTCCACATAACAATTAAAAGTTTTTATGGGAGAATTCAATCATACACGTTATGATTATAATTGTAATTTAAAGTTCAAAGAGCTAAATATGCCGAAGCATTTGTATCTTTTAAATTCGGACTTGTATTGCCCATTAGGTGCACAACTAATTTGAAATCGGATAAATATATATGTGAGCTATATCCAAATCTGAACCGATCACGATAAAATTTGGCAAAGATATTTCTGAGCTTTATTTGATATATTTCCCCAAATATTGTTGTTACAGAGTGCATATTACGGCTGCGGAGAACGAAAATAACAAATCGGATGAACAATATATATGGGAGCTATAGCTATATCTGAACCGATTTCGATTAAATTTGGCATACTTATTTTGAAGTCCAATCTGATCGTACGTGCAAAATTCCATACTATTCGGACTGATATTACACGTTTGGTGCACAATAAAAGGCAAATCGGACGAAGATATATATGGGAGCTATATCTAAATTTTGACCGATTATCTCCAATTTCAATAGGGTTCGTCCTTGGGCCAAACAAATGATTTGTGCAAAGTTTCATCTGGATAGGGCAATAAATGCGAACTGTACTTTGTTTACAAAAATACATGGACAGACGGACGGACGGACATGCATAAATCGACTCAGAATGTGATTCTATGCAGATCATCAAAAGGAACTATGGGTCTATCTCGTTTCCTTTGCCTGTTACAAACAAATGCACAAAGACATAATACCCTGACCACCTTGTGGTGTAGGGTATAAAAATAATTATGAAAAAGTGTATCGGCGTTTTGAAAGTTCCCATAGATTATTTAAATATATTTTAACTTATTATTATTCACATTGTTGACCCTGAATGGAGTAGGCTCCGGAGGAATGGGCCAATATTATCCATTTTGTATAAGACCTGAATAAATATGTTACACAGGATAAAATAAAAAGACTGTAACAAAGTCAAACGCCATAATTTTTAGATTTTTTTTTAATTTTATTGAATGAAAGCAAACAGTCAAAAATAGCATAAAAATTTATAATAAGTTTAGATTTGTTCGAATTGGTCACCTTTGGCACGAACTATGGCCTTCAAACGGCCAGTGAAACCGTCACACGCTGCCCGAATGTTGCTCGGCGATATTTTGGCCCATTCCGGGCGAAGCGCTTGCTTGAGGTGATCGACCCTTTGGTATTTTTTAATGCCAACCTTGCTTTCCAAAATACTCTAGACACAATAGTCCAATAAATTTGTATCCGGGGATTTTGGTGGCCATTGTGCGCTGGAAATGAAGCGAGGAACCTCATTTTGTAACCATTCTTGGGTGGCGCGTGCTGAGTGCCATGGTGCCGAGTCCTGTTGGAATGTCCAAGGTCTCCAGCAAAAATGTTTGCTTGTCCAAGGCTTTAATACACCCTCCATAATATTTTCTCGATAATATTCGGCAATTATTCTGATGCCACGGTCGATTAATATGAGCGGAGAACTACCCTCGGCTGTTATGGCAGCCCACACCATCACCATTGCCGGCGCTTGAGTTCTGGTGGCCAACCGAAGGTGCACATTCTTAGCTGACCTCTTTGGCATGTAAACACGATCATGTTGTTTGTTTACAAACTACCGGACAACGAATGTTTTCTCATCGGAGAAACCCAAATTCGGCAGTTCACCACTTTCGGCCAAGTGAAGCAACTCTTTAGCTCCTTTGAGTCTATTTTCTTTCCGTTGCAGTGTAAGTTCTTGCACTTTTTGCAATTTCAATAGCTTTACCCCGACCTCATTTTTCAATAATTGCCGAATGGAATATTGCGATAGGTTCAGCTCACGAGGCATTTTTCGGCCACTACGACGGGGGTTTCGTTCAAGTCGCTTTTTTACTTTTCGAACCATTTCTGCTGATGTTGCTGTTTTCCTCCGTCTACTTCCTTGACACCCGGGCTACGCTACCAGTACCACGCTAACGAGCGATGGTACGAGACACAAAAGATTTATTCACATTTAAATGCTGAAGTGCTCTAACGATAGCCACTTGTTGTTTTCCAGCCAAATATAAAGAAATCACAGCATCACGCTTGAATTCCATCACGAATAACTTTTATTTCTGGAAAATTCTCACCAAAATGCTGTTGTTCGCTTGTAAACAACTACTGGAATAATTTTAACAGCTGTCGGTCGAGTGGCTTAGAAATGACAGCAGTCTGAAGTTCGTTGCAGTTTTTTCATGTCACCCTGTAGAATTGTGGTTGTTCGTAGTTATTTTATCGTTCTTAATGAACCAACTAGTTCATGAGGTTTTTACGGCTGAAATTAGTATTAATTTTATTTAAAATAAACCCCATAGATTAACATGAAATACCAGGGGTTCTTCCTATCGATTCGCATGGAATCCTTGGCGTTCCAAACGAGCCCTGGCGCACAGTGAGTCAAGATGTTCGTTCTCATTAAATAACATTTTTGTTTTTTCTTTTTTTTCGTTTTAGGTCTTGAATTCGAGAATACAATCGAATGGTCTGGTGAGCACAGTAACGTACCTGCCTCAAACCGATTCCGAACTAATAACATTGGCATGTTGGGCGAGTAATGCAGTCGGTCGTCAGACAACGCCGTGTCTGGTGCATATTTTACCAGCAAGTAAGTATTATATGGAAAAGAGAGGATTGCAAAATAAGTTTGACGCCTCAAACTGACCTATCATAGGGATTTGGACCTATATTTGTCTGTTACACATAAAAATATGACTTAACTTTTTAAAAATTAGACTAAAACTACGAAGAAAATTAGACATGCTACATTTTAAAGTCTAAACAAAATGAGAATCTATCTATTTTTACATTATTTGGCTTGGATTTGACATTCGATTATATATCGTACCTTTTTTTTACTCCACTCAGATCCCCCGGAAACACCCAGATCTTGTGAGCTACGCAATGACACCGTCTTGGAAGTGGTTTGCGTTGCTGGCAGTGACGGTGGCCTCTCACAATATTTTGTCCTGGAAGTTGTGGGCGGTGACCCCATGTACGGAGTAAATGATGCAACGCGCAGCTTTAATGATGCAAATCCGGGAGAAAATGAAATATCCACAATGAATGACCAGGTAAGACAAAAAAAGAAAAAAATAGAATATTTCTTGGAATCCAAATTCAATATGCAAACAAAATATCTAGCATCTAAAAATACCAACGAAAATCAACCTACCCACTCCCCCCTATCTTGGCGGCAAAAAAAATTAACTTTCATTTCAAAAGTTTTATTTTTGAATTATTCAAAATCTTCAACATGTTGACCTTAGGCGAAGAGCAACAAGGAACAACAATAACAACATACTTCATTGTTCATTCGGTTTTAATATTTATGGGATTTTATTTGTGTATGGCGTTTTTGTTTTTCTCGGCCTTTTTGTGGGGAAATGCGAAATTGGGGTGGGAGACGACGCGTGGACAAGTAGCGGATTGAGGTGGGAGGGGTCGTATGGCAAGAAGATTGTTTGTATTTACAAAAGTTCACCATGTGGCCGGCTAGCTTCCCCCATCAACATCCAAAATGATCAAATTAATAACAAATGTAAAGTAATTCATGCTAAAAGTCCTTTGGCCACTTCAACCAACCAGCTAGGCAGCCAGCAGAGCATAAAGGGGCACCGAATTTATTTGTTGGCATTTTATTTTGGCAAAATTTCGATTTTGGGGCCAAATATGAATGGCCATCATTTGTGATGTGAAATATTTTAGCATATTAACTAAATTCTTTACGCATCAACTATCGCATCGAAAAACACACATAGCTAAAGCCTCCCTTCGCTCGTCATCAGCATGGCATTCTGGGATCCTTTTGGGATTTTGTTACTCGCTGGAGAACTTACTTTTGTGATGCCATTTATTTAAAATTGTTGCCTTTTTAACTTAAGTTTTGGTATTTCATATTCTAATGTTTTGCTCTTTTCAATGAGTTTGTGTGAGAGCTTTCGGGCTTTCTTGGAGAAGGGTCGAACATTTAAATGACCATGCATGGTTGAGAGATAGCAGCGAACATGTCCCGGGGATATCATTGAAACATTTGGTGCCGAAATAGTAAATTTCATTAAGATTGCCTATAAATTATAAGCAAGCAGTTGCTTAGCAATCATCGAATGGCAAAAAAATGAAAAACTTTGCATATTTGCCCAAAAGGATGTTCGGTCATCTAGTAAATGATTGCAGGATATTTTCTTTATGTCCCAACTATTCAAGTGTATCATCAACTTCTTTTGCCATGGTAATCATTAGAATTTATATATATATAAATTTGTGTGTGTGTGGGAATACATGTGTTGTTTTAGTAACAAAATATATTCTATAACAACATCACCATCAGTGATGGTCTTTAGGAGGACTTTCTTAAGGTTACCAAGATATGAAAAGGGTTAGAGGGAGAAGTTCATAATTGAGTTTATTTATTTTTCTCTCAAGCGAGCCTTGGTTCTTTTTATACCCTCAGCCATATGGCTACAGAGGATGTACATCATTTGATACGTCCAAAACGTCTTAGACCTGGGTATCTTTGGACTAAATCCTTTCAGGACATTTGGAGTCGATCTAGGGGAAACTGTCCGTCCGTCTTTTTTCTGGCTATAACTCTCAAAAGGAAGTATCCGATTTGGTCCAAACATAGTACATCGTAATATTATTATCAAACTTAGATTGCAGATGACCCCACTCCATTCGGCATCTCCCTAGAAAAGGTCGTTTTTTCATAGAAAACAAGTTACCTCATAAAAAGAGAAAATATCATCCAATTTTGTGCAAAATTTGCAAATACCATACCAGTGCTATGTCAGGTGGGAAAATGGACAATATCGGTCTAATCCATCATGTACCTCTGCATAAAGGGTCAATATTTTTTAGTAATTATATCTCTCATAAAATGTGAAATAAGCATCTGATTCATTCTAAACTGCATATTTATAATAACACAAGATAAGCTGTGAAGATGGTAGATATTGGTCCAGTTTTTTTGGTATCTGTCCTACAAAGGAGTCAAAAATTTGAACAAAAAAAACTCATAATAAGCCTCCAATTCCCTTTAAATTTCACACATACCAATATTTTTACTCGGCTCGGCTCACCCCTTCTGGTACGTCTCACTCCAAGGGGTCAACATTTAATAACAAAACTCTAATAAAATACTAAATAAGATTCGGATTTTTTTTTTCTATATTTGACATATATCGACATTTCTACCGATACATGACTTGGTGTAGTGTTAATAGATATCGGCGCCCCCTCTGGTACATCCCCCAAAAACGAGTCAGCGATTCTTTACAAACTAGGTATATCAAAATATTTCTCTCATCCAGAGATCTGTTGTGAATATGGAATCTATAGGACGACTTTTTCTGGACCACCTCCCTATAAAAGTTCAACATTTTAACTATCATTTACTCGCATATAATTGGAAATAAATGTTAGATTTTTGTGGTGGAATGTTTCGGTACGCTATAGGGACCGGGACAGGCAAATAGGCTGAGATAAAAAAAAAACTGAAACAAAGTCAAACGGCATATTTTTTTAATTTTATTGAATGAAAGCAAAAATGTCGGAAATAGCATCAAATTTTAGAATAAGTTTAGATTTGTTCGAATTGGTCACCTTTGGCACGAATTATGAACTTCAAGCGGCCAATGAAACCGCCACACGCTGCCCGAATGTTGCTCGGCTATATTTTGGCCCATTCCCGGCGAAGCGCTTGCTTGAGGTGATCGACACTTTCAGTGCCAACCAAAATACTCCAGATACAATAATCCAACGGATTGATATCCGGAGATGTTGGTGGTCATAAAGCAAGGCACCTCATTTTGCAAGCATTCTTGGGTGGCGCGTGCTGAGTGCTTTTGTGCTGAGTCCTGTTGGAATGTCCAATGTCTGCGGCTAAAATGTTTGCATGCCCAAGGCTTCAATGCTCCCCTACCTCTCCGAAATATTTTCGTGATAATATTGGGCATTTATTCTGATGCCACGGTCGATTAATACGAGCGTAGAGCGACCATCGGCTGCTATGACGGCCCACAACATCACCATGGCCGCCACTTGAGTTCTGGTGGCCCAGCGAAGATAAATATTTTCAGCTGACCTCTTTGGCAAGTAAAAACGATCATTTTGTTTGTTTATAAACTGCTGGACAACGAAAGTTTTCTCATCAGAGAAATTCGGCAGTTCACCACTTTCGGCCAAGCGAAGCAACTCTTTAGCTCATTTCAGTCTATTTTCTTTCTTTGTAGTGTAAGTTCTTGCACTCTTTGGAATTTCAAGTGCTTTACCCCGAGCTCATTTTTTAATATGTGCCGAAAGGAATATTGCGATATGTTCAGCTAACGAGGCACTTTTCAGCCACTGTGACGTGGGTTTCGATCTAGTACAGGGTTGCCCATATTCGACGGACCCATCTGGCAACACCATAACTTTTGACAGAGATGTCACATCGCTTAATGACGTACCGCGTTTGAAGCGTCAGTTCAAGCAGATTTTTACCATGAACCAATACACGCCACGCGAGCGCTCTGAAATTTGCATTCAACAGAAGAAGTCAATTGTGAAAACTCAACGTGCTTTTAAAACATTAAAAAATGTGAGAAGTGCGCCTTCTAAGAACACCATTAAGCGTTTATACGAAAAATTTTCGACTGGTAAGGCTCTTTCCAATCTGAAAGGACATATAAAAGTCGACCAAGGCGATCGGCCGTGAATATCGCTGCCCTACGAGCCAGTGTTGAGAGGTCCCCAGAAACATCCCAAAAACGCCGTTCTCAGCAGTTGGGCATGGCTCGGTCCATTTACAACAGATTATTCGCATTGATTTGCATTTGTTTCCGTACAAAATTCAATTGACGCAAAGAATGTTGCCTGCGGACAAGCCTCGTCGATTGGAATGGCCCCAAAAAAAAAAAAAAAAAAAAAAAAAAAAACATGGGTCCGTCGAATATGGGCAACGCTGTGGCTTTTTAACTTTCCGAGCCATTTCTGCTGATGTTGCTGTTTTCTTCCGTCCACTTCATTGACGTCGGACTACGATATCAGTATCACGGTAACGATCGATGGTACGAGACACAAAAGATTTATTCACATTTAAATGCTGGAGTGCTCTAACGATAGCCACTTGTGGTTTTCCAGCCAAATATAAAGAAATCACATTATCACGCTTGAACTCCATCACGAATAAATTTTTTGCTGGAAAATTCTCGCCAAGATGCTTTTGTATAATGAGCTGTCACTGAAATAATTTTAACAGCTGTTGGACGAGTGACAGCAATCTGAAGTTTGTTGCAATTTTTTCATCTCACCCTGTATTTCAACATTTTCCAAAAATGTTCACAAAAATTATCATATGAAGGAAGTATTCGATATGGTACAAATCTGACATGTAATTTTTATATCGAACGTAGACCAGATACGTAGTGGACAATATTGTCCCACTCCTTCCGAACCTCCCAGATAAAGGGTCAACAGTTTGAATAATTATAACGCAAGCCTTAACCAAAAAAAAGTCTGCACAGAAAGAGAAAATATAATCCGATTTTCTCCAACTTTGCAAATCCTAATATTTGCGCCAGTGAAAGTTCATAAAACCTGAACTTAACATCCGATTCTATTTAGACTTGGCAAATCTGAATATTTCCATCAATACAAGATCTGTTATAAAAACGGTAGAGATCGGACCATTCCTTCTAGTACCTCCCCTACAAAGGGTCAAAATTTTAAATATCCATGAAGGTCATAAAACGCGAAATAAGCATCAGGTTCTCTTTATTTCACACAACCCATTATTTCTACTATCATATGTAGGAAGTATTCGATATGGTACAAATCTGACATGTAATTTTTATATCGAACTTAGATCAGATACGTAGTGGACAATATTGTCCCACTCCTTCCAAACCTCCCAGATAAAGGGTCAACAGTTTGAATAATTATAACGCAAGCCTTAACTTGTTTTTTTAAAGTATAATATTGTTAATAGCTCTCAGACAAAAAATAAGATCAATAATAGACATAAATAAGTGACAAGAACGCTCAGTTAATTTTTAGACAATTACATGCCATGCCATGCTTTCTTAGAACTTTAGATTTCCCGAAACAATTAAAAAACATTTTTCTATTGGGACGTCCCTCTCTATCTTTCTCTACAACAAAAATGTCTATGAATTCTTATCTCCTTTTTTATATTCTATCTTTTTGAGAAAATTTCCGAATATTTTCCGATCTCTGATCACAATAAAAAAAATCAAAAATTCCAGCCTGCACACACATAAATGTATAAACATATGTGAGTAAATATTTAAAGGTTGGGAAGATGGACAGAAAAACTTTGTGATAACATTTTCAGGCATGAATAATTATTTTTTGGGGAACATGGAGAAAACAAAACTTTTTTGTTGCTGTTTTAGCAAACTCTAGATGAAATGCATATTTCTTGGACATGGATATGTTTATGTTTTTAGTACCCCTGTACCTCTCTTTGACCAATCCTTTGGATGGTAACTATTATTGGCTATCCTTACTTAGCTTGGGATTTATTTTCATAAATCCTAAATTGGAAAGTTTGTTTTTTTCGTTCTTTGTTTTTGGATGGGTACAACAACATTTTGCTGTTTCACTTTGTTTGATGCTTGACTGAACTTTGATGTTTGGCAAAAGAGAACTTAGCTAGACACTTTATGCTTAAGTTGTTGCTTCTTTTTTTGGGTAGGGCTAAAATTTGTATAACACAAATAACAACAAGTGAAAACTGACCTTATTCCTAAATCATTGCATATAACTAAACTATGTCTTCTATACACATTAGCATCATTCCACTTAATAAACATGATTTTTAAGCCTCATCCTTTTTCGGTTTTTTTTCTCTTTTCCATTTTGCAGGCAACATCGGCACCCATCTTTCGCATTCAGGAACCTAATCCCCAGTTTCGTTTAAATAACTTGGAACCCGGTCGTGAATATCAATTTCATGTCTATGCTGTTAATGCCAAGGGCCGTAGTGATCCACCGGTGGTCATAGAACGGGTTCGTGTGGCTGCCCAACTGGGGCCATATGGTAAGTTATGTAAGTACAATTTTTATTTTATTTTTTTTTTTTTATTTTTTTTTTTTGTTATTTACGTGTATTTGGCTGTCAAGTAAACTTGAACAAGGAGGGTAGATTTTTGGTGCAAATTGGTCGATGCATATAATTTATAAAGCAAAGTTATTTAAGTAAAGAAAAGAAGATGTATGAAAAAAATGTTTTTTTCCTGCAAAAAACAAGCATATTTAAATGATTGTTAGAAATAACATTGTGCAAAAAAAAAATCCCACAGATTATAAAAATAGCGCTACATATGGAAAACACTTGCATCGGCATTTTGAAAGTATGTGGACGTTTTTTTATTTTTACAACATTGATGCGATTCGTAAGTAATTAGGTATAATGGTAATAAAGACTTCTTTTCTTTGGAGACTTATGGTGCAATTTGATGAAGGATTTACTTGTCTCTGATGTTATCCTTTTAAAATTATGTTTTGTAGAAGAATTTGAAGTACAGCATTAACACTATCATGTATTGTTAATTTTTATGCGTTTAGGTAAGGTTTAGACTTTAGATTTTTACGAAAAATAATTCTACGAAATAAAGTGACTTCCTATGACCTGGTAAAAAGGAAGTTTTTAACCATATTTTGAACAAATTACCAAAAATACCATTTTGTTATTAGCTTGTGGGTTAAGATTATCGAATAAATTAATAGGGGTATTGCGAATCCTCAGCGTTTTTTCTAATTATTGAAGAAATTGAATTTAGTCGCTCAAGGCAATTTGTAAACTGGTCCAACAGATATCAAAAAAAAAAATTACAAAAAAATTTTAATCTTTGTTTAAAAAATTAATTTATACAGCAGTAAAGTTATATTGGTTCAAGGCATGGTTTCAAGCTGGTTCCATTGGTACCAAAAATGGTACCTGTTCATAAAATGCTTAATAATTCCAAATATTTTGTACTCAACTAGTAGATCGGGCTCAAGTCCGGCAATCCGATATTTGTTTACCCTAGAACTTGTAAAAAAACTTACACTCCTTCTGGTACCTCCCCAACAAATGGTCGAAACTTTGAAAAAAAAAATCTGCACAGAAAGAGAAAAGATAATCCTATTTTGCCCAACTTTGCAAATCCTAATATTTGCGCCAGTGCTAGGTTAATTGCGAAAATGGAAAATATCGGTCCCCTCTATCAAGTACCTCCCCCACAAGAGGTCAACATTTTGAACATAAGAAATCTTACACATCTCAATAATTTTATTAACTCAACCCCTTCTGATAGCTCCCCCATAATAGGTCGAAATTTTGAATATCCATTAAGCTCATAAAACCTGAACTTAACATCCGATTCTATTTAGACTTGGCACATATGAATATTTCCATCAACACAAGATCTGTTATAAAAACGGTAGAGATCGGACCATTCCTTCTAGTACCTCCCCTACAAAGGGTAAAAATTTTAAATATCCATGAAGGTCATAAAACGCGAAATAAGCATCAGGTTCTCTTTATATTTCATACAACCCATTATTTCTACTACCACAAGATATCTTGTGCAGATGGGATGTATCGGTCCACTCTTTCTGGTAGCTCCCACACATGGTTAACAATTTTGAATATCCATAAAGCTTATAAAAAGCGAAATTAACATCCGATTCCATTTCAGACTTGGTCAATATTTCCATCAACACAAGATCTGTTATAAATATGGTAGAGATCGGACCATTTCTTTTGCTACCTGTCCCACATAGGGTTCAAGATTTTTAAAGACAAAACTCTCAAAGAAAGCAAATTTCACACATACAAACATTTTTGCTAATACAGGATATGTTGTAAAAATCTACGAAGCCTTTCTGGTACCTAACCCACAAAGGGTCACAATTTTCAATACTTTTATCTGTCATAACTTGCGAAACAAATATGCGATTCTTTACAACTTGCTACATCCAAATATTTCTCTCAACCACAAACCTGAGATGAATATAGAATTTATGATATCCCACAAATTGGATATAAATGTTCGATTTTCTTGTAATGTAATGATATGCAAGGTGGTCAGGGTATTATGTCTTTGTGCATTTGTTTGTAACAGGCAAAAAGAAACGAGATAGACCCATAGTTCCTCTTGATGATCTGCATGGAATCACATTCTGATTCGATTAATGCACGTCCGTCCGTCTGTCCGTCCGTCCGTCTGTCCATGTATTTTTTAAACAAAGTACAGTTCGCATTTATTGCCCTATCCAGATAAAATTTTGCACAAACCATTTGTTTGGCCCAAGGACGAACCCTATTGAAATTGGAGATAATCGGTTAAAATTTATATATAGCTCCCATATATATCTTCGTCCGATTTGCTTTTTATTGTGCACCAAACGTGTAATCTCAGTCCAAATAGTATGGAATTTTGCACATACAACCAAATTAGGCCTGAAAATAAGTATGCCAAATTTGATCGAAATCGGTTCAGATATAGCTATAGCTCCCATACATATTGTTCATCTGATTTGTTATTTTTGTCCTCCGCAACCGTAATATGCACTCTGTAACAACAATATTTGGGGTAATATTTTAAATGCAGCTCAGAAATACCTATGCTAAATTTTATCGAGATCGGCTCAGATTTGGATATAGCTCCCATATATAACTTCGTCCGATTTACCTTTTATTGTGCACCAAACGTCTAATATTTGTCCAAATGGGATGGAATTTGGCACATACGACCGAATTTGGTCTAGAAGGTAGTATGCCAAATTTAGTGAAGATCGGTTCAGATATAGATATAGCTCCCATATATATTGTTCATCCGATTTGTTATATTTGTTACCACAGCCGTAATATGCACTCCGTAACAACGATATTCAGGGAAATATATCAAATACAGCTCAGAAATATCTTTGCCAAATTTGATCGAAATCGGCTCCGATTTGGATATAGCTCCCATATATATTTTTATCCGATTTCAAATTAATTGTGCACCAAAAATACAAGTCTGAATTTAAAAGATACAAATGCTTCGGCATATTTAGTCCTTTGAACTTTAAATTATATTTATATTCATAGCTTGTATGATTGAATTCTGCCATAAAAAACTTTTAATTGTTATGCACAGCTCTACTAAATTAGCAAAGTTGTTTAGGGTATCATAAGTCGGCCCCGCCCGACTTTAAGATTTTCTTTACTGGTTTCATTTGCCTACGCCGATTCTCAATCTCATAACCTTGTTGTAACACTCACATCAACGGTACTCATTACCTTTAAATGTGTTATTCACTTTATGCAGTTTCTAAGTTTTTGCTGGATACTTGATTGCATTCAAACGGCGAATGTGTCCTATCAGCTATTTTTGTATTAACCAAAATGTTTCAAACCTTGCATAATATAATTTTTAATTTTTGGTTTCTTTCCATATTAACTTTCCTGATAAATAGTTTTAACTGCAACCAACAATTAGAAGCCAATTAAACAATTATGATTTAATATTAAATATATATAAACATTTAACCAAATGGCAAATTTTGATTATAAATTATTAATTTGATAAAAATTAAAATGGAAAATTTTAGTTGGCGTAACTAAAACTTAACGGAAGTATTCTACCGACATTCAACACTTTTTTAAAATAAAACAATTAAATTTCCACTAAATTTCCAGTGGGTGTGTGTGCGTTATATGATTTTTTAATTATAACGCTCTTAATGGAACACTTCTCCATCATCAGAACACACCAACAAAAACAGGAAATCAAAATTTAGCTTTGTTCCATTTTAATGAAAAGCCTGTAACAAAACTAAAACATGGTGTAGTTGTTGTCGTTGTACGAAATTCCATATAACAGAATTACTCAGATTTCGTGCTGGTGACCCCAAAAAAATCCATTTGAACTACATAAGCCGGTAATAGGATTCTATAGGTTTAAACACACAGACAGATGATGATGGTGTACGTGAGTGAGTGAGGGTGTGTGTGTGTTCATTTGTTATTAAAATCTTATTTTACTTCATTTCGTTTCATAATAACTATACATACATAACAAACATATTTATTTACGTATATACATACTTACCTACCTGTATGTCTACAGTATATTAGGGTGTTAATAATTTTTTGTTTCAATTTTGCACGCACACAATTCATGGTTATACAAGTAAGCAAAGGCTATAGTCGTGCGGGGCCGACAATGTGATACCCTACAGCAGCGCAATATGTAAGAAGATTTCGATTTTGAAATTATGTCATGGAGCACTGACCAGATATTACCCTTTTGCCCAATATTTACGCACTCCGTCGTGCTGTTAGTTGTTGTGGTCTATTTTACAGTCACGGTCATCCAAACTGCTAGACTTTTTTCCTGTCCCCATCTCTCTCCTCATGCAAAATTTCGTGTCGATTGGTTTCAATTGTGTGATCAGGAATTTTTTTCTGTTGCTTCATTTGAGACCCTAAATATTTTGTAATCGTCTCCAGATGCAAGAGGTCCCTCTGTATCTCTAAATTTAGACTCATCTATATGACCTGCTTGTCAATCATATTTGGCCATATTCGTCAACGAAATCAGCATAAAAAAACCAGAAGTGCACCTTTTATGTATTTTATATTTCGCCTGTAAATTATTTTCAAAGTTTCGGTGGAATGGAAATGTTGGTATTTTTTTTAAACAAAAGTAGTGGCCCTAAACTCTCACTTGATGCGAGATTTCGTATCCTTTGGTTTCTATTTGTTGGTCTGTTTCAACCCCTAAATATATTGCGGACATTTTTAAAACAATAGGCCTAGCCCTTCTGAGCCCAACCGGACCATTATGAACCAGTAAAAAAGTCTTAAAGTCGGGCGGGGCCGACTTTATGATACCCTACACCACTTTGCTTATTTAGTAGAGCTGCGCATAACAATTAAAAGTTTTTATGGGAGAATTCAATCATACACGCTATGATTATAATTATAATTTGAAGTTTAAAAGACCAAATATCCCGAAGCATTTGTATCTTTTAAATTTGAACTTGCATTGTCCATTTGGTGCACAATTAATTTGA